AAAAAGCACAGCAGTCAGACAGGTAGATTAGCTTTCTCGGACCCGTAGCTCAGCCTTTTTTTAGGCTAATAATGTGAGATATAGAAAGATAAAAGAGAAGCTCGAAGCATCGCAAGATCTGAAGTGAAATATTCATACGGGGCCAACACCTCACATTCCACCCTTTCATGAACCACGTACTCCTGCTCTATTGTGGCACAGTTCCCCACGGGACGTCCAACATTGGGCACACTTGAACATAGTGCTCCTCGAGATTAATCATGATTACTGGTGCTTACTCGCCTTTTCTACGTTTTGTCCGCACTAAAACAAGGGGCGCGATTGCATGTTTTCCCACTTGCACCCTACGCATGACATCACGGCGACGGCGACAGCAACGGACATTTATTTGTTTTCTATGTCTCTTTAATTGATGTCACCTTAACATTTAGGTGAGATAAGCTCTTGCGAACAGTTTATCAGTATTGGCACAGGTACCGCGCCAGAAATCAGTCCATGTAAAATAAGCAAAACGAACAAAAAAAAAATAAAAATCATCGCAATGCACCAGCAATACGAGGGCATATAATCAACTTACCGGAATACATGTGTGGAATCCGGTTACAAGTTTATAGACATTTTCAACGGAGAGGGGGATCCCCTCCTTTCTGATCTACGGCACGGGAGTACAACAGCTGACGTCACAGCTTCGGCCCTACATTTGGGTGGGGGGGGGGGGGGGGGGTACACATTTTAAGAACAGCCCAGAGGGGCGTATGGCAGCGCTCAGATAGCCTTCGTTGACAAGGTGTATCATTCGCTTCGTTCTTTCTTTTTTTTTTTTTTTTTGCTCTCGAGATATGTAGATGAGAGGTGCTCTGGCGAATTCGGGCGTTCACGTCAGTATCGAGAACTCTCGACTCGTACGGGATGTGCCTTCTTGAAGGTGCCAACTCGTCCGGGCTGCGGCTTCTGCATTTTCGACGATTGTGGCGGAAACGCTGTATATACGCCCGTGTGCTCAGATTTGGGTGCACGTCAAAGAACCCAAAGTGGTCGGAATTTCCTGAGCCCTCCACTATGGCGTCTCTTATAATCACATGGTGGTTTCGGGACTCTAAACCCCACATGTCAACCAATTAAATGTTCCAGCTCTCCGTTTCGACACATGGACGCACTCTCCCACGCGCACTATGTAGCCGCTTGCTGCGCTGCCTGACATGTCCTCGTCATGTCAGCTCCTGGGGTCGCATGCGCACCTGCTCCGAGAGAGAAAAGTTCACGTCAGCGGCTAAATCAGCGCGTCGCCAGTTGCAGAGGACGCAGAGTGAAAAACAGAGATTAGGAGGCTGTTAACGAAACAAACGCTGCATGGTACGATAATCGGCCATCGGGGCCACACTGGCCCGCACTTTGTAAGTGGATGGCACGGGTAATGCGGTGAATGAAAGCGAGGAGAAAGATGACATTTGTGTCAGACCGAGTCGATGGCGAAGTGAAGGAAAGTGCTTAAAAAAAATAAAGGCGGGTACTAAATTTGGTATTGCGTGACGAGACTACGTGGCAAACATAAACGACAGGTGGTAACATGAAAATCATGACATGCATGTCATGTACGGTATGATTTAAGCGAGGTGGTCTTAGTGCACTTCCGCGGTGGCTGCATTTTCGATGGAGGTGAAAATGCTGCAGGCCCGTGTGCTCAGATTTGGCTGCACGGTAAGAAACCCCGGGTAGTCGAAATTCACTGAGCCCTCCACTACGGCGTCTCTCGTAATCATATGGTGGTGTTTTTGGGACGTTAAACCCCACTAATCAATCAATTATTGCGCTTCCGGCCGTTTTGGTAACTGAAATCGGTATGTAATCTAATGAGTGCATATCAATGACAGATCAGGTATTGTATATGCCAGAATGTACGTTTCACTCGTATGATATATTCTTCATTGTACATGCATTCATTCATGACAAACATGTGATAGCGAACTATATGCATGACGTGGTATGAATGCCTTAATTTGCCTCATATGTAAACGAGGTGATGTATGCGGCTCATTTACTGGCTGCTTCGTGTTAGATCGATTTCCACAGTGAGTAGTGGGATCTGCTCTTTTTTTCTACATTCACGTTAAGTAATCAAAGGACAAATAAGCGAAACGCCCTCATGAAAGCAACATTCCCCGCGTGAACGGGTACGAGAAAAAAAAGTAATAAGATTCTTTCGTGTGAGCATCGGTGTCGCAAACGGGACTCGCAGCAGTGGGTGATTTTTGTAGAGATACCTCCACTGCAGTGCAATTTCTCTTATCGCGGTGAACACCGGCTGGCCAGCAGAGACGTGCTTTGTGGTTAGACGCTCTGCTCATCGGCTACGCATTTCGCGGTGACTTTGAAACACGATCTCTTACCTTTTACGTGGCAGAGGATTCAAACTCGGGGTTCTTCTCGCCCTCGGTGCTATACTGAGATGTGTCTCGCAATCGCTGTGTTTCGTCGTTGATCCCGCATTTTGCCCCAGCTATCGTCAGTGCTCGTGACGGATGAACTACCGCAAACAAAGCCGTGTAAAGCTTTAGTGTCTTCAAGTACGAATTCGCTTACCCAAATATACACGCAAGCCCGAAATCATTACATTACGACTGTCGACTTCACGGAGTTACTCGCTTCTTCGAAAGGGCACGTTGTGTTCCATAACAAGGCGCGCATTTATCAAACTGCTGCTTACAGTTCAAACCTTTCGCCACGGCGTCGATTTGTAACGACGGCGAGATCTCTGTGCACTGCGGGCAGCGGTGCACAGAGAAAGTTCAGGACTCGGCCTTGGCTATGAACGCACGCTGTCCGAATGCGCCCGCACAAGGCGGGCGCCGCGCCACCCCGGCGATTTTGTCGGCCACCGTGTAATTTTATTACGAACGAACGGCCCTATCACGAGAAGTAAAAAAATAAAAATAACAGAGGGGGGGGGGGGGTAACGCACCTCTCTCAAACGTCGATCGTTGTAGCCGCGGTAGCTTCTGGTTGTTTGCACCGACCGGAGTGGTGTGTCCATGACTTCCAGCTTGCTTATTAGGAGTGCAGTGCGATATACTTAAGCTGAGCTCACCTGCGTAATTTATACGTCTGCTCGATCGCGAAGAAGCCAGGGAGTGAGAGATGAAGTAGAAGGATAAATGGTTGTGGGAAGGCGCTTATTATTCGTGGTGTGTGTATGGTGGAAGCGGTGTGGGCACGTATAGACATATATATTTATACAATACGTTCGTGTGTATAGCACACGTACGCGCATCCTGCGCTCTTGTTTCCACCTGGTGCGTCGCTCTGGCTTCTCGCATAGCTCTACTCATTAGTCACGAGTGCTGCGCTTTGTTTTCGGCGTTCTCCGAATCTGTCAACACGCGAGTACAATGATTGCCGACACGGCCGGCCGATCTGCCGCTGGTGAATGCGTCGGGTGTACGTCATTTGTACGCCGCGTGTACGTATATATGCACACGCTCCGCCCGGCCGCTCTTTTATTTGTCCGACTCTCGGTCTTTTCTTTCTTTGTTAGCTTTGTACTTCTTTTTTTTTTGCTGAATACGGCTGGAAGAGGAGACGAAAAAAAAGGGGGGAGGGATGAGAAACTGATTGTGATGGTTGCGTGTGCGTGTACACGGCGAGAGGGGAGAGATAATTTGAGCCGAAATCAGCCCAGAGAGATGTGCGTGCGAGCAACAAGTGCCGAAGCGGTCGAGGTTAGCGATGACAAATGCTTTCAGCAACCTTGTTTATAGAGTAAAAACTTGTCTTTCTTGCTTTCCTTTGTCGTGAGCATTTACAATATAGGTGTACTTCGTGCGTGCCACAACACAAGCGACAGATTTAATTGTTGGGGTTGTACGTTCCAAAACCACGATATGGTTATATGGATTTCGTACATATCTGTGGGCTCCGGAAAATTCGGCCAGCCGGTTTTAACGTGCAGTACGGAGGCCTCCCATGCTTCGCCTGCATCGAAATGTTTTTGATGGTGGCGAAAATGCTTGGGGTCCGTGTGCTTAGATTTAGGAGCGCAACCCCAGATGGTCGGAATTTCCGGAGCTTTCCACTACGGCAATCCTCCTATAAGGTACTTTTGAGAAGTTAAACTTCAACAATTATTATTACTGCATCAAAATGTGGCCGCCGCAGCAGGAATTCGATCCCACGACCTTCGGTTAAGCAATCGAGCGCTGTAATGACTGCGTGGCGGACACTTGTCACGAAACTTGTTCTCAAGAGTCCTCTCGTTTGCGCGAAGCGACACATGATGATGATGATGATGATGATGATGATCATCATCATCATCATCCTGACTGCATCCACTGCGTACAACTCACGTTTATTTATTTATTTATTTATTTGTTGCTTTTGAGCAAAGCATTTACAAAGAACTCGGAATTTCAGGCCTCTAGAGTTTTTCAATCTGTCGCTCGCGAAATTTATTAATCGCCTTTGTTTCACGCCGAAAAATTCTGGCATTGGCCAGTTTACCACGTGATTTCAAGCTGCCTGATATACTATCGTTCGCTTTGTGGCGATTTATCGCGACTTCGCGCATGTGTGGGTGCCCCGTGGTACGATTCAAGGACAGGCTTGTCTGTTTTTCAGCATGTTTGCGAATCAATTGACCCAGTGGTTGGGCGTTGTAATTTGTGTCACCACGCATGCTCGCATCATTTACGCGTGTGTCTGTAAAGGAGTGCCAGCGAACGTTGCAGTGAGCCGACTCTGGGTTGTTCCAGAAAACTGAACTCGAAACGAGCAGTCTTCTCTGTCGTTACTGTTGCCGTGTACAGGCCTTAGCGCGATTCCACGATTGGTGAGAGATAAAGAAACAAAAAAAACGGGCGGGGAGAATATCTAGACGCATGTCTGGTATCACGTAAACCTCTCTGTTGCACAGAATTGCGCGTCAATTTGCTGACTGTGTTGCGATGCGTGTACAAGATACATTGCGGTACGAGCTGTCACATGGTGCATCTCCTTTGGTGGCGCAGGCGGCGGGGAGGAGGAGCGCTTGCTTTTCCCTCTACCCTGAATGCAAGGACTCCTCGGAACGTCGCTCCACCACCGGCAAAAGTGAGTCCATGGCGCACGCTGCTCGTTCTTTTTTTTTTCTTCCTCCTGCGGCCTTATAACGGCTGCGAGCTGGTTCATATGCTTGCTGCGGAAACTATACATACTGCTGTTACGGGCCTTTTCGTATTGCGCCAGGTGGTTCGACCCTCCTTTCGCTGGCAGCTGTGCTACCAAGAGGTCGCATATACGTGAATGTCACGCTGTTTCCTTGCGCATTGCGTTAGGGAGACGATGGCAAATGTTAAGTCGGCGTGGATTGATGTAACAGCGCTCCACAAACCTCTGAGCGCTTCTTTCGCGCCACGTAAATGCTTAGTTTGAAAGTAGATTACGTTCTAGTGGTACGCAGCGCGATTGAAACCTCCCGATCTCGTAAAGGGCCGTCTGACGTATCGCATTCAACATGCCCGCGATACGGCGGAGCACAGCTCGGCGAAAGCAGAACCTGCGTCATTCTCGTGGGTAACGTGAAGAATCTCTCTATCTCTCCCTCTCTCCCCCCCTCTCTCTCTCTCTATCTATCTATCTATCTATCTATCTATCTATCTATCTATCTATCTATCTATCTATCTATCTATCTATCTATCTATCTATCTATCTTCGCAGATCAGACGTATTTTATTCTGCCTTGTAGTGTGCTGAAATGTTCCTTTAGTCATAGGCAGTTTGAGCGTGCTTGGTATTAAGTGTGGTGATACCCTACTACGTCATTGGGCTTGTGTTTCGAGTGTCCGAGTGAATGGCGCAAATCGTGTCCTGCATTTAACTTCATTTTTCGATCACTAAAGCACCGCTGCGCATAAGAACAATATTGACGTTTCGGACGTTCTCGAGCATTAACCTTTGTGTCTTGCTTAAAGGGTCGTTTGCGCTTAGTGTCTCTTTAATGAGTTGCGCCAGCGGTTACGTTCAGGTTGGTCGGATACACGTCGTAGAGCAGCTCAGGCTGAGAGAGACGCCGCAGTAAAGAGCTCCGCATAACATCGACCAGCTGGTGTTCCTTAACTATAGCGCGGAACTCGCATGGCATGCGGGCCTCTGCCTCCACTGAAACGCGACCGTCGCGGCTGGGATCAAACTTGCGTCGTTCACGTCAGCGACCGAGCACTGTCACCACTGCAGGGTCAACGGGGCGGCTTCGGGTATACGGTGATGCATGCAGCGCGCAGTTTTTGTTTTTCTTTCTTTTTTTTTTTTTGCGGCGCTGGAAATATTAAGCACTATCCTGTTTGCGCGCGTCTCGGCTCTGTGAGAGAGGGAGAACGAGACATGCAGAGGCATCTTCGTTTTCTCTCTCTCTCCGTCTTGATCAGATACGCATAAATTCGCCAAATTCCGTCTTCTGTGTATCATATGCCCTCGTCTGCGCCGATTCGCTACCCGAGCGTATAATTTTGTGTGTGTGTGTGTGTGTGTGTGTGTGTGTGTGTGTGCGTGTGTGTGTGTGTGCGTGTGTGTGTGTGCGTGCGTGTGTGTGTGTGCGTGTGTGTGCGCGTGTGTGTGCGTGCGCGCGCGCGCGCGCGTGTGTGTGTGTGTGTGTGTGTGTGTGTGTGTGTGTGTGCGTGCGTGTGCGTGTGCGTGTGGAACCGCTGCGCTGAGCATGCGGTGTATTGCACAGCTGTCACCCTTCGCATCGGTGCCGCTGTCGTCCCACAGTTCCTTTGCGAATCGAGCCATTCTACACGTGATGTGTAGGTGGCCTAGCGCCACAAGGTTCATCGATATAGGGAAGGCGTTGACTGCGACCTGCACGCTGCCAGTCGTGTGAAGGTCTCTATGTTCGTCTGTCCTCCTATCGTAACTGCTGGGCATTAGGAGACCGCACACGCACAGTTGTCAGTACCGAAAAATCCTATAGGGATACTTGCAGACTGTCGTGTCATTCTTTACTTTCCTTTTTGTTTCTGATATCGTTTATTTGCGTTTTATACATTCGCGCTTTCATCAGCTTGTCGCGCGGTGCAAAGAGGGAGAGAGGTGTTCACTTGTGATACACTATCGCGCTGTCGTCCTACGCAGAGGATTTCGTTAATATTGTTTGTAGGTTGGCCGAAGTAAGTGCTGTAGAGCGGTGTATTCTATGTTTCGTATGTTTGCACTGAAGAGATGAACTAATCATGTTATGTAAATAGGTAATATGAATCTTATCCACGAGGTCTGATGGTCCAGCGAACCTTGCCGTTGTTAAAAAGTTAATTAATTATAACATTCGTAAACACAGTAAAACCACTGGTACAATTAGGGTTCGCTCAGTCGGATGAGTAACGCCTGCGTCTAGGGGACAATAAAATTAGTCGTATCGTGGTCCCACGAGAATGAGGAAATCTGTGCAGCCGTGGCGACCACCCAAAAGAGTGTAGTATTCACGGGTTATTCGGGGTTACGCTTTACTTGACCGTCTATGCAGGTTGCTCCAGTTATCCCTAGCCAGAGTTTAAAGATATGCTGACGTACTCATCACAACGCACTATATCACACAGTTTTTTTTCTGTTCTTCCCAATTATCTAATTAGGCATGTGTATTAACTAATTGTTGAAGCAAGCAAGCTGGGGCATAAATTCAGACGAGACAGTTATAGAACACCTTGCAAAACGTCTGATTGGACAGCTTTTAACTTTCAATCTATTAGGTATTAGTCTCTTTCTACTTACTTAAGATTCCTGCGAAATACAAAAAATCAAGAATTAAATAAATAAAATACCATGTGCATTTCCGCTTGCGTACCTATGCGCGCCGTGATTGGAGCGCTCTCTAACGTTCTGCGTGGAAGCGACCATAATAGGGAGTTTTAGAATAGCGCATCAGAAGCCCTTGCGGTGTGGTAGCTGCCACTGCGCATGCGTCGTAACGCGAGTCGGCGTTCGCGTTCGCGGACCGAACGCAAAAAATCTGACGGCCAAATGACGGCCTGCATGTGGCACGCAAGCGCTGGTTTCGAGACTACGATGTCGCTGTGATCGTGCGTTGCGGATCGCAGCAGGGCAAACGCTTTTCTAAACCTCATATGGCGCCCGCAACACCCGCAGCGCTTGCAAACGGTATTCTAAAACTTCCTAATAGCATTCGGTCAGTTGCCCCGTCTCGACAAGGAGCTATAGATGATGCACGTTTTGCTAGCGGCAACACTATAGCGATAACCGCCTTGACTGTTTATCAGTGTCATGAATCGCCGCATAAATGCGGGGGCTGCGTTTCCGATGGAGGCGGAAATGTTGTAGGCCCGTGTGCTCAGATTTGGGTGCACGATAAGGAACCCCAGGTGGTCGAAATTTCCGGCTCCCTCCACTACGGTGTCTTTCATAGTCATATGGTGGTTTCGGGACGTTAAACCCCACATACCAATCAAATCAACATTTAGTCGAAATGGATGTCAAAATTTGTCGTGCCATACATCATAACATTTCTCGGAAGTTTCGGCATGTTGCGTGAGTTGCAGCGCCAATTCATCTTTGGTATGCGTCAGCGGTAATAGTAACGTGATGATAATGTAACTTGACCCGGACGCGCACAGTCTAAGCATCGCTTAAGTCAAAGCTTCTTTTGTTTAGTTTTTTCTTACTTAGTCGAGTCCGCAAGGTTCGTGGTTTTGTTTGCATGACACGTAGATCCGGCCATTCATGCATTAGCCAGACTAGTCTTCCCTTAGCTGGGGTTTTACGTCGCCCAATACGACCACATGGTTATGCATGATAGACACCATGGTGGAGGGCTCCAGAAAGATCGGCCATCTAGTGCGTGACACGATTACTTCCTCGTAAAACATGTCTGCTCTCGTATACATTATTTACGTCGTATTAATTGCAACTTATTGTTTCAAACCTAAATGCCATGAAAAATATACGAGTTAAATTACACGAATGCATGCATAGTTGCAACTATCACGTACACAAAGCTGACCTGAAGTTTTGTTTTTTTTTGCATGACAGAAACAACATATATAATAATACTCTTATTGTTGTAGAAAATAAGCGTCAGCTTTGTGTACAAATTGTTATATAATACAGTCTATATAAAAGTGTGATCATGGTGCTAAATATATACGTGGTTCATCCCATACAAGGGAGCACTTTGACATATAAGGATCCACTTGATATGTTATATATGGTGTGGCCGTGCCTTATTAATGCCGGATTTGACTCCTTATACGGACCGACCGCGTCATATATGGCTGTATATAACCCCATACATGAACCGACTCCGTCAGATATACATCCATATATGGTAAACGGAAGCCACTTATGCTGACATATATGCTTATATGCGGCCACATATAACCTATATAAGGGCCATGTATGGCATTTCGTAAGAGCGTGCACCGACGTCGAACAGTGTATACACGAGCCTGCATTGAAATGCGACCGCCACGGCCGGGAGTGAACCCGCATCCTTTGAGTAAACAGCCGAACACTGCAGCCACTGGTCCACCGTGGCGGGCATTTCTATTGGCAGCGAGGCTTCTAATATACAGCCACTTAGGATATGCCAGTCTTAATTTAAACCTTAAAACAGAGGCATGTCGCCGGTTCTGCTGTCTCTTCTGCGAGGGGGCGGGGGGCGGAGTGAGTTATACGATGCGTCCCGAGCGGCGGCAGCACACACATGTCTGACCCTCACTGACGGACAGTCCGTCAGCGCGTGTGACGCTGTCGCTCGGGAATGCACGAAAATGTCACCGTTGCGGGTTTTTTGCAGGCAATGCCTTCTATGTAGCTTTGCTGTTCCTGAGCTGCGCTCATACAGAGACACCGCAAGCGCAAAGCTCCAGCTTATATTGTATTTTTTCTTGTTGTTGTTGTGTGTAAATGCAGCGTACATATGATTGCGTAGGATCGATTGTGATGTGAAAATAGGCAAAAGTTTCTCTACTTAAATAGACTTTCTTGTAAGGAAAAAAAAGAAACACCAGGCCTGCGCGGAACGCGCAGCACAGTCTCAGCGAAAGCTGGAAGAGCCTTTTCTAAACACTCTTTGGGTAAATGCCACAAGTACACTTGCTGGG